CGGGAGGAGGCGCCCGCTTGGGGCCCCGCCGCCGCGCGCCGCGCTCGGCCTCCCGCCCTCCGGCCTCCCCCGCTCTCTCCGCCGGAGGCCGACTGGCTCGGGTTGGCGCTGACTCGCCACTTAGCGACTCGTCGCCCTGGCAACCCCCGACGCGCGCGCGGCTGCCAATGAGGCGGAGGGAAGGCGGGGCGGGGCGGAGCCAAGGTGCCGCCCGATCGGGGTCCCTGCTCCCGGGCCCGCCCCCCACCGGCCCATCCGACCCGCCCGGGAGCCAACGCGCGCCAAAGAAACCCAAGGTCCACCTCCGCAAGCCTGGCACTGTGCCAACACAGACCCGACGTCCGGTGCTGTCTACACTTCCAGCCACAGCGAGCCGTTTGGCGTGCGGTTGTGTGCGCTCAGAGCGGCAAATCAAAGAAGAAGGAACCGAGGACCGAGGAAATGCCGGCGCGCGACCCAGGACTCTGGACAAGTAGATGTCGAGGAGGGACCGAGGAGGCCGATCACTGCCAACCATTCATGTCCAGCGGCATGCGACCAGCCTCCCCGGAGACTGGGTCACTTTAGTAACTCGCAACAGCGTTGCTTTCTGTTTTCAGGGTGAGTCACATCTGAGGATTTGCGGGGACCCAGGGCTTGGCTCCGCCCCCGTCCCCTCCTCAGACACCCTGATTGCACAGCAGGTTCCTCCTTAGTGCAGTCACACCCCTATCTCCTGCCATGTCCCTCTAGCTATGCTCGAGGTCTGTGTGTGGCTGCCGCGGGCAGAGCGCTGGGACACCTGAGCGCCTTTGAGCCCCACCAACGATGACCACTCTCGTTCTGTGACCCTTCCTCCTGCGCATGCTCCCACCAACATCGTTAGCCCCTGCTTTCTCCCCTCCGATTCAGAGCTCTCCAGCCAGAGCTCCCGGCACAAACACTCCCCTAGGTATCGTGAGCCTGCCCTGTGCCCAGCACTGTGCTAAGAGCATCGCACTGAATTCTTGCAACACACCTGTAAGGTAGGTACCCTCATTACTCTAATTTTAAAGATGGAGAAACTGAGGCTCTGAGAGGTTTGATTGAGCTGGGTGACTCACCCAAGGTCACCCCCTCCAGCCTGTGCTCTTTAACCATGTACCACACCAATAAATGGAAACACTGGTTACTCCACCTGTGGCAATGAATTTTCTCACAACGGAGCCTCTAACTCTCATGACAAAACTATACGGAAGGCATTATTAATCCCATGTGACAGATGAGGAAAGTGGTCCCAGAGGGATTAGGCAAATTGCTGAAGGTCACAGAGTGAGTAGAGGTTACAGCCAGGCAGTGGAGTATACAGGCTCAGTGCCTCCCCCTTGACCTGTGTAACTGGTGTGACCTGTGTAACTGACTGGACAGACAGACCTCCGGGCAGCATCCTGCCCTCTGACCTGCCCTCATGCCCATCCCCACTGCAGGCAGAGAGGGAGGCCAGCCCGATGGCAGAGAGCAGTGGCCAGTGGAATCAGAGGATGAGAACCACACCCCCTGTAATGTAAGCTCTGCAGGGCAGGCAGGTTTGTCTCCTTCCTCTCTGGCACAGGCGCAGGCACATAGTAGATTCAAGAGAAATTTTTAACATTTTTTTAAATGGAGGCAAACTTCACATGCAGTGAAATACATAGATCGTTGGGTACAGTTTGGCAAGTTTTGACAACTGTAAACACCCCTGTGATATTTCCATCACTCAGAGAGTTCCCTTGTGTGCCTCTTCCAGTCGATCCCCACCTCCCGGAGACAACCATGATCCTGACGTAGATCGTCATGGGTCACTTTTGCCTGTTCTCAAATTTCATACAAATGAAATTATTCCGTGCCTACTTTTTTTGCTCCTGGCTTCTTTTGCTCAGATACTCCATAAATATGTGTTGGATAAGGGAACGGAAGGGCAGAGCCATAGCAGTTGTGATGGGGCAAGGGGTGTCAGGGGGTGAGCAGGGGATGGGGGACCCAGAGGCCGGTATTGCTCTGAGCCAGGAACGAGCCTCAGATCCCTGTCCTGGGAGGGAGACTGACAAGAGGCAGGTGGCTCTCCAGGCTGAGGTAGGGGACCCAGGCAGAGAGTAAGTGGAGGCCAGATCTGGGGTGTAGGAGGCTTCTGAGCCCCAGCCAGAGGGGCTTCAATCTCCTTCCAGAACTCACTTAAGCCCTGGTCCAGCTCTCTCCCTTCTACTCATCTGGGAGAACTTTTTAGAAGAGGTGATGCCTCTGAGACCAGTAAGCTGAGGAAAACCCAGCCAGGCTGATAGGATGAGGATAAGCACCTCCCCACCCCCACCCCCTGCCGCCCCCCTAGCAGTTACCCCGAGGGAACATTCGCTGTGGAGGAGGAAGCCCAACCAGCCCCGCTTTCCACATGCTTGGAGCTGATGCTCCAGCACCAGGCAGCCCTCCTGGGCTCTGCCTGCCCAGCCCCTGCTACTCCAGCACCAGCCTGGCAGAGCTTCCTGGGTTCAAGGGCACAGAGGACCAGCCCTCTTCTTTCTCCGAGTCTTTTCCTTGCTCTCCCGGTAGATCCTGTACCTTCGCCTCCCACCAGGCCCTTCTCAGTGGGTAACGGCAAAATGTGCCAGCGTTCCGGGCCCACGCAGGCTGGCAGCGGGGCAATCGTGCTGATGAATCACGCTGGCACCGCGGGCGCCCAGTCCTTGTCGAGGCGTCACTAATGAATTAGCTTCACCCCCAGCATGGGGCCTCTCAGCCTTTCCCTCCTCCCAAGGAAAGCAGGAAACTGAGACCTGGGAGTGGGGAGCAGGGAGAAGAGGCGGCTCCCACAGCCCCAGGGATGGGCCCACACCCCGCCATCCCCTCTGCCCCCCTTCACGGAAAAATGCCCCCAGTACAGGTCCCTTGGGCCCCTAGAAGTGGCCTCTCCATTCCTAATCAAGAGCTATAACCGTCCCGCCCACCTCCAAATCTGTATTTTTTAAGGAAATTTTTGAAATACAGAAAAAGTACAAAGATCTCTGTGATAAACACCCCTGTCCCCAGTCTCCAGCATTGACAATTGCTCACATTTGTCATACTTGCTTTGAATCTATTTTCTTTTAAATAAAAGGAAGGAAACAGCACATGGAATAGAGAAGTCTCCTTTGTCTCCACTCCTGTGTCCCCATAGGCAGCCCTGCCCCCGCCACACTGACCCCCCCCAAGGTCCCCTCTGGTTCCCCCTCCCCTTTTGGGGCCAGGACCACTGTGGCCGCTGAGACTTGAATGAGATCATGGAATGTTAGCATCATAGGTTCTTAGAAAGCAAGGATTTGAGCCTATTAGAGCCAACCACGAAATATCAGAGCAGGGTGGGTACTTAGCTTCTCTGGGGGAGATCACAGGCTCTGTTAAATGTCTGCAAGAAGCTAGGGACCCCTGTTGCAGAAAAACGCATGGAGGCCGGAACTCACCCAAAGATGGGCACAATTCCCATGGGTTCATGCTCCCCCCCGGGGTCTAGTCCAGCTCCTTCATTTGGCAAAAAAGGAAAGTGATGATGTCCTTCATGCCACGGCCCGCGCCCCTTACCTGCACCAGTCCTCGCCTTCACTCAGTTATTCATTCAACAAACATTAAACCCCTACTTGTAACATAACAGACAAAACACTCCTGCCTTTGTGGAACTGATATTCCTGCGAGTGGAGATAATCAACAAAATGCATTTCACAGTGTGTCAGGCGATGATCAGGCAATGGGGGAAATACAGCAAGGAAGAGGGAAGGAGGAAGGAGGGGTCCATTGAAAGCAGAGTGGCTGGGGAGGCCTCATGGACATGGACGGGACAGCTTTCGAGGAAAGATGGGGAGGAGGAGAGGGAGCGAGCCCTGAAGACACATGTCTGGGGGAAGTGTGTTCCTGGCAGAGCGGTTGGCAGTGCCAAGCCCTTGGGGCGGGAGTGTGCCCGGCGTTCTGGAGCAGCCGGGAGCGAGGCACAGGGGCAGGGTGACAGAGGAGGTCAGAGAGACAGACAGTGAGGAGGGGGCGGACCACTAAGGGGCATGGCCTTTGAGCAGAAGCATGACACGATCTGACACACATTTTAAGGGATCCTTTGGCTGCAGCAGCAAGAAAGGTGTGTGTGTGTTTGGGTGTGTGTGTGTATCGTGTGTGTTGGGCGCAAGGAATTTGTGCAACTTGTACACCTCTCAACTTGGTTCTCTTCCACAAGATGGTGATGGTCATTGTTCATTGAGCACCTACAGGTATCTGATCTACTTTCACCACAGCTCTGCCAGGCCGGTACTAAATCTCCCTGCTTTACAGATGAGGAAACAAGTTCAGAGAAGTTAAGCAGCTTGATCAAGGTCACACAGCTGGTAAGGGGCAAAGCCAGGATTCAAACCCTGCCCATCTTATTGCCAAGCCTAGGCTTATCTTACTATGTCTCATTGCCTCTCTTGGTTGCAGGAAATTAGAGAGACCACTCAGAATGCCCAAATGCTTGCCCCCATCTTGCAAACAGCAAAAAGATTTCCAGGACTGCTCGACTGGGAGATTTTGATCCCAGGCCCCAGAGCTCAGTGTGTTTGCCCAACTGGGGGCATCATAGAACCCGCAGGGCAAGCCTGGGAACGCCACTACGGGCTCCAGAGGACAGAGCAAGGAGGCCCCCAAGCCAGGGGCATCCTAGGGCTGTGGTCTAGGCTCAGGGTTTGCCTGTTAGCGTATTCCAGGCAGTGTCTGGCCCACGGTCGCCCCAGTGCCCTTCACTAAAGAACCGAACTCATGAGGCTAGCTCAGCTGCTGCCAACCTGCTCCCAGACCCCCCCTAGAAACCGGAGCCCAGACATACCCTGTGGATCACATTCCCGCAGAACCCGAGCTCAGAAAGTGACCTGCCTGGTCTGTCGAAAGCTGAGCATCCTCCCCGCCCCTCCCAGGGACACCAGAGCTGGGGCAACAGAGGTAAAGGGAAGGAATCTGACTGGTGCCCAGGGCCACGCCTCCATGCTGTGGACAGGAACCGGACTATCCTAATGGGTTCTGGGAGGCCTCCACATTCCCAAGCAGGTTCCGGGCATGATGGCTCCTTCCTCCCAGGACGATGCCACAGTGGTCAGGGCTGGCAGCTGCCCTTATGTTAATACCTTCCTAGATCTGTGGGCAAGCGCAGGTTGGATCTTCTGCTCCGAGACTACAGACTCAAGTCCCCACTATGACCTCCAAAGACTTGTCTGGCTCGGTCCCCCTCCCTGTGGCACAGGCTGCCGAGGGTCATCAACTTCCGCTTTCTCCCTCTTCTTCCTGAGCACTCAGCAGGCTGATGGGGTGGGGCTCTGGAATGAGCACCGGGCTGATGGATGTGGGCAGAAGTGATACACGCCACATCCATGCACAATCCTCCACTCTCTTTTATTTTCTGCAGTGTTAAATGTAGAAAGGGACTGGATCCCTGAGTCACCACTTGGAGACAAGCTAACTGACCCACATTAGACTGTGAAGCAAATGAGAAATAAATTTTTAGCCATGTAATGTAAAAGGACTGTTTGTTACAGAAACAACCTGGACTGACTAACACACTTCCTCTTAGTTTCTCAACCACAGCAGCTTTTTTTCTACCCCAGGACCTTTGTGCATGATGGTCCCTCTTCTTCCCACTCTACTTGGCTCACATTGCTTATCCTTAAGGTTTCAGCTAATACCTCCCTCTCTTAGAGAATCCTTCCAGAGCACATCAAGACCCCATGTTATAGATTCTTGAACTCCCACGATCCTCCTTCAAAGTACTTATTCCAATCATAATTAAATAAATAATGGGCTACGAATTATTTGAAGTCTGTGTCCTCTGTACTAAGATATAAGCTGCCTGAGGGTAGGGACCTTGCTCACTGACGTTCCCTAGTGGTTGACTGGGTGCCTGCTGCATTGTACCTGCTCTAAAAACATGTGCTGAATGAATGAATGGGGAGAATGCTCTCCTACAGGTTCCCCTGGGGCCACTTGAGCTACTCAACCTCTCTGAACCTTGATACTCACATTTGGAGAATGATGTCCAACCGGGGCTAGGGTGAGGTGAGTAGGGCACTTGCCCCAGAAACAAAATTTGAGGGGCACCAAAAAACTTAGTACAGACCTGCATCGCTTAACGACGGGGATACATTCTGAGAAGCCCATCATCGTTGTGCGAACATCACAAAGCGTACTTACACAAACCTAGATGGTGTAGCCTACTACACACCTTGGCTACATGGTACTAATCTTATGGGACCACTGTTGTATATGCAGTCCATTGTTGACGGAAACCTCGTTATGCGGTGCATGACTGTAACCAAGATAATAGTTTAATGCAA